GCCTTAGAGATTTGTGAGGCTGTCAAGGCCGCCTGGGAACCTACTGCCGAGAACCCATTGATTTTCAACTTGCCTGCCACCGTCGAAGTTGCTTCCCCTAACGTTTACGCTGACCAGATCGAGTACTTCTGCAGAAACATCAGTGAACGTGAGAAGGTCTGTGTTTCCGTCCATCCTCACAACGACAGAGGCTGCGGTGTTGCTGCTGCCGAGTTGGGTGTCCAGGCTGGTGCTGACAGAATCGAAGGTTGTATGTTCGGTAACGGTGAGAGAACCGGTAACGTTGACTTGGTTACTCTTGCTTTGAACTTGTACACCAACGGTGTTTCTCCCGAATTGGACTTCTCTGACATTGAGGAATTGATTGCCATCTCTGAGAAGTGCAACAAGATCCCTATCCACCCAAGAGCCCCATACTCCGGTTCCCTTGTCGTTTGTGCTTTCTCTGGTTCTCACCAGGATGCCATCAAGAAGGGCTTCCAGAGATCCGAGAAGAACCCAGACGACCCAATGTGGAAGATTCCTTACTTGCCTTTGGACCCACAGGACATTGGCAGAACTTACGAGGCTGTTATCAGAGTCAACTCGCAGTCTGGTAAGGGTGGTGCTGCCTGGGTGATCTTGAGATCCATGGGCTTGGACTTGCCAAGAACCTTGCAGGTCGAGTTCTCTACTGTGGTGCAGAACGAGGCTGACAAGGGTGGCAGAGAGTTGAAGATTGAGGAAATTAACGATCTCTTTAAGAAACACTACATCTACACTGGTGAGTCCTTCATCAAGCTTGACGACTACGAGACCACCAGAGGCAAGGGCGAGAACAACACCCGTGAGATCAAGGCTGACTTGGTTATCAACGGTAAGCCTGTTACTATTTCCGGTGAGGGTAACGGTCCTATTTCTGCATTTGTTGATGCTGTTGCCAAGCAGTTCGGTACTTTCTTCGAGGTGAAGAACTACACAGAGCACTCTCTTGGTGCCGGTTCTTCCGTCAAGGCCGCCACCTACATTGAGCTTTCCTACATCAACTCTGCTGGTAAGCAGACCACCAGATGGGGATGCGGTATTGACTCGGACGTTAGTGAGTCTTCTTTGAAGGCCATTGTCGCCATCCTTAACCACTTGATCAGAGCCGGTGAGCTTAAGGTGTAAAATAGTATTTAGTTGATCTAAAATGCAATGTGCAATTAAAACTGATAGGGAAGGTGTAAAGCGATGTGGGGTTTGAGTGGAGTAGTACGATCTGGATGTGGTGATTGATTAAGGATGAGCAAACTATTAAAAGGAGGAAGGGCTCTAGAGTAGTTTGAATAGCTAGTATTCCATACATCGATTCCTTACTATGGTCAGTGTCTCATTCTATTCGTAGTATATGGATGTATGCTGTCTGTTGGAGTTCGATGAACCATTTCTTGAATCGTCTGATTAACAAGTCACTTCACAATTCAGGCCTTAAAATTTGAACAAAACACTAATAGAAAATTCCTAAGCATCGTTTCATCCATTTCATCCATTACCTTGAAGTACTTCCCAGGCTGCCTTTTTCGCAGCCACTGGACCTCAAGCATACCGTGCAACCATCACTTACAAAGGCCAAAAGAGACACACAATTTAAACATTTAGGTATTTTAAGCTCTCAAATCAAAAAAGTCATGAGCGGTGGGAGCCCTTGATGCTGCACCATCGAGAACGTGGTGGGTGCTTCCGGGTGCTTAGGGCTGAGCCCTAGCACACGTGACTGTGTAATACCCTCACAATGCTCCTTCTGCCTGCACACACCACGCTGGGGCCCAGTACATACTGTCGCACTAGCTGGGGAAGCCTGCAGGAGCCTTGCAGCGAGTAAAATTTTCATACCCTCACCAAAAAAAAAACCTCTTCTTCCATCCTCCCATAACCAGGAAAAGTATATACCAATGTCCGATTTCCAGCCAGTTGTTGTCATTGACGGTAAGGGTCACTTGTTGGGTCGTTTGGCCTCCATTGTCGCCAAGCAGTTGTTGAACGGTCAGAAGATCGTTGTGGTCAGATGTGAGGCCCTCAACATCTCCGGTGAGTTCTTCAGAAACAAGTTGAAGTTCCACGACTACTTGAGAAAGGCTACCAGATACAACAAGACCAAGGGTCCTTTCCACTTCAGAGCCCCATCCAGAGTGTTGTACAAGGCCATCAGAGGTATGATTCCTCACAAGACCGCCAGAGGTAAGGCTGCCTTGGAGAGATTGAAGGTCTTCGAGGGTATTCCTCCTCCATACGACAAGAAGAAGAGAGTTGTCGTTCCTCAGGCTTTGAGAGTCCTCAGATTGAAGCAGGGCAGAAAGTACACCACCGTCGGTAAGCTTTCTTCTGCTGTCGGCTGGAAGTACGAGTCCGTTGTTGACAAGTTGGAGGAGAAGAGAAAGGTGAGATCTGCTGAGTACCACGCCAGAAAGGTTGCTGCTTCCAAGAAGTTGGCTGCTGCCCAGGCCCAGGCCTCTGAGACCGAGGTTGCCAAGAAGTTGGCTTCTTTCGGCTACTAAGTGTTTTGCAGTGGTGCTTCTGCTTAGGGCAGAGGTGCTGCAACGGGGAAATATTGGTCGTTTGTACGATTGAAATCTCGCTATTGTATGTATAGATTCTATATGTATTAGCGCTAATACATCATAACGAAGACTTGGTATCGTAGTGTGTTTAGCTGTGAGCTTGAGGCCGTGCTCTAGGCCGGAGAATAAGGATCATTTGTAAGTTACCGGTTTATCCGATCATAGAAAGCCGTTTTGGTGACACTTTGCATGGACGAAGTTGACGAGCAAATTGGTCTACTATATATGAATAATCCAATCGGGCAAGAACAGGACCGGTCACTGGGTACCTTCTCGGTTCATGATTCTCTAAACTCGTCGTTGGCTACCTTTTGAACCCATTACATCATAATAAGCGATCTTTAAGTAATCAGAAGAGTTGTTTTTCGTTACTGTGCCTTCTAGGCTGATAATCCCTAACAGTCACTACACTAGTGCGGTGAGTGAACCGGGCAATCAAGACTCACCTGAATTAGTCCAGTAGACCTCACAAATATATAAAACCCTCCCACTATGATGAACAACTTCCTTATATATTCACCCCTGACATCCTCATTCGATCGTATTTTGTATTCTCTTGCTGTCTTGGCGCCGTAACAATCTGTCTCATTTTGCAACCATTGACCGCACTTGACCACGACAAGTAGATAGATCATTCTAAATTCGTTTTTCAAATTGCATGGTAGTTTCTGTCAGAGCTTTTGACGGAAGTCATTTTTATTACTGTAATTTCCTCTCCCCTGCTCATTACATAACAATGGAGTCCTCGTGGTTGCAAAACCTCCGAAAAAACTCCGGTTCAAAGCTCAACTTCAGCATCCCAGCTGCAAAGCTTTTTTCAACTCCCCGATTCCTCCGAATCATCGAAATCATCGTTTCTAGTTGTAAACAGAAAAAAAAAAATCCCTTCCTTCGTTGCCCGAACCTGTATTACCTACTCAGCCATCACCAGAGGTTGACTCCACATTTCGCAGCTCATCGCACATACTACTTTCATTAAATGCCAAAGTTCCCGACCATCCCTTCGCTAATAAGCTCCACAAGAGCCTCCTTCAAAAGCATACCTTCGCTTTCACCCACAAAAGAACTCGTATGCAACTACGAGACCATCGAGAATCTAGACGTTATAGACGACATCTGTGAGGACGCTTATAAAGGTTACTCAAAATGGTCGAGTCGACCATTCGACGAAAGAAGTGAAATTCTTCGAGCAGCTGCTAGTCTAGTGCAAAAGAACAAAGAACACTATGTCGAGGCCCACATGGCTATCGGAGCAGCCCGGCCTTTTGCTGAAATCATCACACAAATGGCCTACCAGAACATTGTGGAACATGCTCTGCCTATTTCTCGACCAGACGGCGAGGTTTTGAAAAGCAAAATGAGTCAATTGGCCATGTCCATAAAGAGCCCCGTGGGACCTGTGCTTTCAATCGCTCCATGGAACGCTCCTACTGTGCTTTGGGCTCGTGCTATAGCTGCTCCATTGGCTGCTGGATGCTCTGTAGTTGCCAAAGCGCTGGAAAAGGCCCCAATTACATCTTATCTTTTTGCTCGAGACTTCCATGAGGCTGGTGTTGATAAGGACGCCTTGCAGGTGGCACAATTTGCACCAAAGGACCAGCCTGAAGCGACAAAGAGACTCATTGAACACAGCAAGATCAAGAAGATCACATTTACCGGTTCGTCGACCCTTGGAGCCAAGCTCTCTCAAATTGCAGGAGGCGCCTTGAAACCTATGTTGTTGGAGCTTGGTGGAAAGAACGTGCTGATCATCACTCCAAATGCCGATCTTGAAAAAGCGGCAGAATCTCTGCTTTTCAGTGCATGGCTTCATAACGGCCAAATTTGCATGTGTCTTGATAACTGTTTCGTCCACAGCTCTGTCTATGATGCATTTTTGAAGATTTTGGTGAGAAAGGCTCAGCAACATTGTGCTGAGAAAACTCCCCTTAGAGACGTTGAAGGTGCGGATAAAGTCCGTGGGTTAGTGAGCCAGGCGCTTGAAAAGGGTGCCAAGGTTGCTTTTGGCGACCCCAAGCAGCTGTCTGACGCTTTTGTTCTGCCTTTGATCTTGACTGATGTGAATAAATCTATGAACATTTTTCTGGAAGAGACCTTCGGTCCTGTCTTTTCTGTCATCAAATACGACACGATAGACAATGTTGTGAATGCAGTGAATGACTTGAGATTCGGGCTCAAGGCATCCATTTGGTCTAAAGATGTGTTGAATGCAATTGCAGTGGCCAAGAAAATCGACACTGGCGCCGTTCACGTCAATGGATCAACTGTGCATGATGAAGCGACAATTCCCCATGGAGGCGTTGGCCAGAGTGGTTTTGGCAGATTCAACAATAAGTGGGGGCTTGACGAATTCAGCTTCGAGAAGGTCATCACAGCCAACCCGTAATCAAAACCCACGTTTGCTGAGATTTTCTGCAATGTCTAAGTATAATGCAATGGGGTTGAACGAAGGTGATTTGTCAAAGACGAGTTGGTCGACTGTTGACTTGATGCGGTTGGTCCAATTGATTAGGTCGAGGTGGTCAACGTCTGACAAGGTGCCCAAGTACTCTCCCCACTTGGACAGCTCAACGCTGACCATGCCATCGTTTTCCCAGTGGGTTCCACCACGTTTTTGGATTTCGTGCTTGATGATCTCATATGTGGCACGAAACACGCAGACTCCATGGGGTGGCATCAGGGCACCATAGGAGAAATACGAGACATTGCTGTTATTGGTGACGTCTTTGTTGAACTCCTTCAAGAACAGCGTTGTCAATTGTGGTATGGCTCGGGGGCAGATTTTTTGGAGTGTCTTGTCTGCGTTGACGATATCCATGACGAAATCGGCACATTCGGAACCATGATGAGGTGTACCGATTGTGGTCAAACTAACCACTTCGTAGGGTGACTTGTCGGTTTGGAGTTTCAGAATAAGGTATCTGGCGTCAAGACCACCCATGGAGTGACCTACGATGTTGATCTTGAGTCTTTCCCCATGTGTCTTGTCTTCATGATCCTCGCATTTCTCCCTTAACAAGGCATCCAAACGCTCGGCCCGCTGATCTATTGTTCCAAAAGGTGGGACGCGTGCTGTGATCACCAGAGCTCCAGCCTTGGTAAGCGCATCCTCGATTCCATGCCAATAATTCACCAGAATACCGCTTCCTTGGACATTTTCAGCTATCATCTCGAGATCGGTGTCTGCAAACTGGGGAAGCTCAAACAAGTTTAGCGTGTCGAAGCCCAGAAGCCCGTGACACAAAACTATAGGGTGCTTAGGTACGCCGTAATGGTCTCGAAGCTTGCTGAACTTGTCTTTGATGAGTTTGATATCATATTTGTCGTTAGCGTCTATTTTGTCATCTTCGGACTTATTGTTCCAAAGGCTTTTGATGCTGCTAACATATGGAAGAGGGTGTATAAACAAGAGGCCTGCCCCTGCCCTCAATGGCTGCCTGAACATGGTACTATATGGTTGCTTAAACCTGGAGAAGCGATCTAGGTGATAAGTTGCACCCGTACACCAATACTTAACGGCTACTGTCGTGTGATAAGATCTTGATAGAGCTTTGGGAGGTGATAACGGCGATTTAAATTTGTCGATGTTATTTGCATAAATAGAAATATGTATATAGAAAAGCACATTCACCAAGAAGGCGATTCCATCAATAAGAATGAATGGAATCATGGCTTTTGTAGTACATCTTCGAACAATATTCCCATCCTTTTGAAGTATGGATAGCTTGGAAACCGAAGATCTACTTCAAATTCGACTTCTACATGGTGCAGCTGCAGGTATATACATTAAATGCCCATTTGACAGGACTTTGCGAGGTGCTTCCACATCTCATGCATGAGCGTCCGTAAAATTATGTCGATATATTTCAATCAAGATTCCGAAAAAGTTTCAAAGAAGCTGCAACGACATGAAGACCTCGTTGTTTCGTAAATGCATGTCTTTTTTCATCAATCAGATCCGGTCCCTATCTTATGGATTGCCACTGACGGCTTTTATCATCATGTCCTTGATAGACCCAAACATGTTGATCAGCTTGAAGCCAAAGCCTCTCAACATAACAATGGGCGTAAAGTCTGTAGAGAATATCTTGTGAAGCTTGTCACAGACACCCATCAAAACGTGGTTTGAGGGCCACGCCTTGGCCGTATAGTAGTCCAAGGTGAGAGTGGAGCCGATATCTTGACCACGAGCAATTCCAGTTTCGATAGTCTCGACCAAAGCAGCCACGTCGGTCTGGCCCATGTTGAGACCCTGTCCTGCCAATGGGTGTACAGTATGAGCAGCGTCTCCCACCAAAGCCACTCTTGGAGCTGTGTAAGTATCAGCATGGAGAAGCTTCAAGGGGAATCTAGCACGAGATCCCGAGACGATTTCGGCAATTGGCACGGGGTACTTCTCTTCGAGCTCCTCCTCGGGGATTCTCGAGAGTCTCCACTGAATCTCCTCGATCATCAGCTGGTCGTTCGGATTGGCCTTCAAGGCTTTGTAGATGTAATTGAGATCGACCTCCTCGAGCACCAAAGCGGCGTTGATCAAGTGGGGAAAAATCGTCTCGTCCACCTTCAACAAGGTGTCTGCCAATTCGGGAGTACTGGACCACACGAACGTAGCGTTATCGCCAGTCAATGGAAGAATGGCCAATGGACCAGTAGTCAAGAACCTCTGCCATGCCACAGATCTCCAATCCTCATACTGCAATTTCAAAGTTCCCACGACACCAAAGCGGTTATAAGGCCATCCACGAGACTCGATACGAGCGTACTTCCTGACAGGCGAGTTTTGACCATCGGCACCGACTAAAAGACGAGTCTGGTAGCTTTCGCCATTATCCAACGTCACCACAGGCCAGTCCAAGTCACCTTCTCCCTGCTTAATGTCGACCACACGAGCCTTCTCCACGATATTGGCTCTATGCTCAGGCTCCAATTCCTCGTTCAATGCCTCGATCTTCTCCAACAAGGAGCCCTGGATATTCAAAACCTCCGTCATGGCAGCAATGGCACCGGCTCCGGGAACCACCGAGGTGTCGAACTCGATACGGGCTTCTGAGTCCTGGCTATCGTACACAATCATGTTGTCGTAGAACTTGACTCTGTCGGTCTGGATGTAGTCCCAGCTGCCCAGGTTGTTGTTCATGAAATCCACAGACTTGGGCGTAAGCGAAACCACCCTGTTGGTGTAGTTCTCTGGAGGATCCTGGGCAAACTTTCTTACCCCGTCTAGACTCAGACCCTCTACTAGGGTACATCCGAGGTGGCTGGTTGAAGGGGTATTTTTCAAAGCCAGGAGAAGCGAAAGACCCGCCGGTCCGCCTCCCACAATGACGATATCCTGAAGTTTTGGTTTGGCAGCGGTGGCTAGACCACGAATAAGCCGAAGCATAGTAGTTGGTGTTGAAAAACCGCGCCATTCTTGTGGAAGTGGTACGAGTCGGACCAGGGGAAGGTGAATGTGACTGATGGATTTGGGGGAGATTTGGATGAATATTTGGAAGGAGGGAGATGGTCAATTGTGAAAATTGCAGTTTATAGTGGATTCGGTGGTTGCCTTGATGTGGCTGCAAAATGCTCATACGCACTAGGTAAGCGAGGTGAATTTTATCTGGAGTTAGTTTAAGCGCATGAGGAAATGTATATTAGCAGGATGTGGAAATTGACAGAATTGAAGAAAAGGGCTTCCATGGTGTCAAAATCAGCTTGAGGCGAAAAGAAGATCTATGTCAACTACACTACTATACAGAGATGTGCTCTATCTATCTAATGATCACACAATCTGGCGCTCCATACGAGATATTGACTTATCAGATTGAACTTATCACATTGCAAAGAATCCCCTTTTCCATCTTCCTTCTTTTCATGAGACGGAGTTAAGTGGCCCTTATCCTCGGTCCAAACATACATCGGCACTTTCTTATACCCTCACCAATCATGATCCTCACAATGCCACTACAACTCTCCGCCAGTTCCATGCTTTATTGACTATCACACCAACCCTACTCCTTCTTCTGTTTCTTCTTCTCGGGCTCGTCATCACTGAGATCTAGCTCCTCACCTTCGGAGCTGTCATCCACTTCAGACTCTCCATCATTGTTCATGGCTTCAGAGTAGTAATGCACGGCATTGGGAACCAAGTCGTCCACGATCAAACGGGCCAAATCTTCTCCGCTTCTGAACTCCTTACTGGGCTTCTTGCCTGTCCACTCGAACCACGCAAAAAGCGATTTCATGCCTTGTCTGTATCTCTTCTTTTCGTCAGAGGTGTAGTTTTCACTCTCCTTGTTCTTTCTGATTAGCGCTGGGGAAATGTTTTTGAATTCCTCTGGCCATTGGACTTCAGCTGGTTCTGAGTAGATTTTAGCTTCACCGTCCTCGTCCACAGTCGTAAACTTCTTCGTTACATCTTGCTTGGGAACACTGCCCTCACCAAATGAAAAAGTGATGGTGAAATCTCTGTAGTGTTTTGCATCGGCAATTGGATGATCCACATAAATATCGGTGATGGTTTCAAGGTACTTCAAGTCCTCGGGTCTGATGTACTCGCCAAAGTCATCGTTTTGAGCTAAAACGATGTACCAGAACTGGGGTATGGTCTTGGTGATGTCTGCCCGTTTTTTGTATATGCTTTGCATGCGCTGGATTCTGAAGATCTCCACGTCTTTCTCGGCGTCGCCCATAGCCTGTTCATTGTCAGCTAGCTTCGTGAGAGCATCTGCTAAGTCCGCCATAATAGTAGATGGATGGAATTCAAAGATCAACAGAGATAAAGACCTAGCGAAAATTCGCGCACGTGACGTGTCACGTGATATCCCACAAAACTTATACGCTTGAAAAATCTACCTTTTAGTGTGTATAACATGCTATTTATCACCTTCTGCGGTGAGAGACCATCTCTGGCGGGGTGAAGGGCACCTTCAATTCGGCGATCTTGTATGTGGAGGCCTCCTTCTTTGGAATACCAAGAGCCTCGGCCATGCCAACAGTAGCAGGACGGATTCTGGCACCCAAAGCCTTGAACAAAATGGCAAGCTTGGAGGGTTTTAGGTTGAGGTCCTTGGACAATGGCGTCAACTCGAGGAAGAAGCCCTCGATGTGGAACATGAGCGCAAGCATGTAGCAGAACAACTTGTCCTCGTTGTGGGTGTCGAAAATGAAAGAACGGTCCTTGGCCTTGCCGAGATCGCCTCTTCTGTGAGCGGTGAAACGCTTCAAGACGCCGTCCACAAGAAGCTCCAGGGGCTTGTTGCCCAACGCCTCCATAAGCGATGCCTTGTCTCTCTTTCTTCTGTTCTGGTACACACCCATGAGCAACGAGACATAGTACAACATTTGCAACTTCCTCTCGTTCAGCGACAGCACAAGCTTGTCCAAGTGTCTGGAAACAAAGGCGGATTTGTAAGGCATGAGCTCCAAACGAGCAGCGGGGTCGGACTCTTCCAAAAACGCAGACACTCTGATGGAAGAAAGCTCCAGAGGAGGCACAATGCCGTCCAAAGCGTAAATGTCCTCCACGTTGGTGGCGTCGGCGTTGACTGGAGGCACCACGGAACTCTCGGGAGCCGCCTGGATCAGCTGCACCAGAGGCAAGTCTGCTGTCAGTTCTCTCACGGTATCCACAATGTCCATCTCCAGATCCTGCAACTTCTCCAAGTCGATTCTGTTTCTGGCCAACGAGGCAATAGCAGCCTTGGCTTTTTTGGTACCGAACTCCTGGCCCAACGCCAATCTCTGGTCCACATACTTGGATCCTCTGCTCTTGATCTTGGGGCCCTTGTGCACCCTGCTGTCTAGCGATGTAACTCTGGTTTGAACAAGAGGAGCCTTGTAAAGCTCCACCAGCTTCAGCTTGGCGTCGTAAAGCGCAACCACGTAGTCGTTGTTGTCCTGGTTGTCCAGCGTGAGACCGTTGTACTCCAAGGTGCTGTTTTCTCCGTGGAGAAGGTAGTTGTCTTCAACCGGGTGTTTGTAAAGATCGAAGGAGGTATCCGTGGGGATTTCCAAACCGTTGAAGAAAGCACCCACAACTAGACTGGGGTCTGTGGCCACCGACGTGACCTTCAAATCGGTGGATTTGTCCGACTTGCCCATGGTAGTAGTAGATGGTGATCTTTTTCGCATCTCATCGCACATCGCACACTTTGATGAAATCCTACTATGAGGTATTGGATGTCTCTCCAGACGCTTCTGTGGAGGATGTCAAAGCGGCCTATAGAAAAAGACTACTAGAAAGCCATCCCGATAAAGGCGGCGAAGGTGTCGTTTCCATCGACCTTATCAAAAAAGCATACGAGGTGCTTAGTGTACCTGAACGGGCCAAAGCATACTGGGAAGAGCTCCAGGAGAGCTACAAGAAACAGGGTTTTTCTATCACTGGTGCAGGGCTTGATGTATATACATTGGAGCTGTTTGACGAGCTGGAGACAGCAGAGGGTCTATTGTGGTCTAGAG